TCTCCCTGGTGGTACATCTCCCACTAAGAATGGAGCAAACAATGCTGGGAACACGCCCGTATCATCCTCCTTTACTCATGACAATACTCGGCATCAGGTCTACGAGAACGTCTCCACGGAGCTGTCAGGCGCCGTCAAATTGTGAACACACCTACGATTCCATATTTGCTGATCTGTAAGGAGACCTTGAGTCTGTGGGGATTGCCCTATTAAAATATGAATAGATAATAATAATCTTTGTTCATTTTTCAGTTGCAAGTTTATTGTTAGTACACGCATTCGTTATTGCTCTCGCTTTCATTGTTAAAATTCACACTTGTAAATTTCACTGCTGTTGTTCCTAGCGTTATTTCTCTAACTTAGATCTTCGATAATAGTTCAATTTTGTTTTCAATAATAATAATAATAATATTAACTGGTTTGAGGGAAAGAGACAAACGGGAAAAGTCTGAAGAAAAAACTGACTGTCACCACGAGGACTCGAACCAGGGACCTTTGTTTGTAGCCAGCGATGCTCTAACCACTGAGGTATGGTGTAGTCGTCATCCCAGCAGAGGCCCTTCAGCATTTTCTTCAGACTTCGTAACTCACGCTTCCTGTGAATCCACACAGGTGGGTGGGACGCAACCCTCACTGTAACCCACACACTTCACGTACAAACTAGCACGCGGGGATATAGATTGCCGTGATCACGAGCTCTTATGGATTTCCCTGGCAATGCACTCCGGAACAAAGACTGTTCTGGGTGCGCTCTACCGGCCTGGCTCTTGTGCAGAGACAGACACCAGCCTGATGGACTACCTAGACAACACTTTGGATGATGTCCGCCGTCTTGGCAGCAATGTTATAATTGCAGGGGACTTCAACGTGCATAATTCAGCCTGGCTACAGAGTAGCAAGACTACCCGAGCCGGTGAATGCCTGGAGGAAGTCTGCGCAGCACATCATCTTGTCCAGCATGTCACCCAGCCAACCCGCGGCAACAATACTCTCGATCTTATCATCTCCGATTTCCCACACCCCGTATGCACCACAGCCTATGCACCACTTGGACGATCTGATCATGCCGTTATCATTGCCGAGTTTCTCCAACAGCATCCACGACGCGAAGATCCTGCTGTTCGACAGGTTTGGAAATACGCCCTTGCTGACTGGCACCGCCTGAGAGCCTACCTCCGCAACATAGACTGGCCCGCCAAGATCCATGGGTGTGCGGAGCAGTCCTGTCAGCGCGTAACTGATGTCATCATGCATGGAATGAAACAGTTCATACCATCCAAAGAGCTTGTGGTGCACCAATCCAACCCTGTATGGTGGACACCGGACTGTTCTAACGCCAATCATGCCAAGGAGCGGGCATGGAAGCTGTGGCGACGCAATCCCCGCAACGATAACCACAAGGTCCAGTACATCACAGCTGTTAACCACGAAGTGGAAGCGTGTCATGCAGCGCGATTAGCACATCAACGTAGAATTCGCAACAAGCTTACTGCAGGTTTCCTCCGGGACAAAGAGTGGTGGTCAACCATCAAGAGCGCAGCAGGCAAGGGACGTTGCTCTGACATCCCCCTGCTGACCAACCCTGCAGGACAAGAGTTCCACTCTTCTCGTGAGAAAGCCGAGTGCTTTGCAGCGCATTTTGCGAACAAGTGTAGCCTTGGCAATAACGACCTCTGTGCTGCTGACCTGCCTGACCTGCAACGACCTGCCTATGCCACGCTAAAGCACATTCACTTCCGCGCAGCAACGGTCAAACGGCACTTGGCGAACTTGGCTGTATCAAAAGCAACTGGACCGGATGGCATCTCTGCTCGTGTGCTCAAGATGTGCTCATCTGAACCTGCAGACCCACTGGCAAAGCTCTTCGCCCTCTGCTTCTTAGCCGGTGTGCAACCTAGGGCATGGAAACTTGCCCATGTAGTCCCAGTCCACAAACGGTCCTCCAGATCTTTGGCATCGAACTACCGACCAATATCACTGCTAACGATCATGTCGAAAGTCATGGAGGGCATTGTAAACACGCAACTGGTTAACTACCTAGAGAAGCATGAGGTGTTGCCAAACAGCCAGTTTGGATTCCGACGTGGTAGAGGAACCGCAGATATCTTAACGGCTGTCCAACATGAATGGGTCCACACCATAAGTACTGGCGGTTGTGTCCAGGTCCTCGCCGTGGATATTGCCGGTGCGTTTGACCGGGTATCGCACACAGGAGTGCTGTACAAAGCAAAGCAGGCCGGCGTCGACGGACGCCTGCTTGTATGGCTACAGGACTACCTCACCAACCGAAACATCCGCGTTGTGGTTGGAGGCCAGACGTCAGATGCTCAACCCATCCAGGCTGGTGTCCCCCAAGGCAGCATCCTAGGACCCAGCCTCTTCCTTCTATACACCTGTGACATTGAACAATGTTTAACTCCAGGGACGCAGCTGAGCAGCTTTGCAGACGACACTACACTCTACAGCTTAGTACAGCCAACTGACGATCTCCAACAGTCCACCGCCTCCCTCCAAGGGTCCCTCAACAGTCTTGAGGAGTGGGGCCGCAAGTGGCGTATCTGTTTTGAGCCAGCCAAGACACAGCGCATGACTCTACATCGCAAGCACGTTCCCCCCTGCACTCCACCAGTCACCTTTGGAGGTGAAGCACTCCAGGAGACAGATACCCTGAAGCTGCTGGGAGTCATGCTCGACCCTACTCTCTCCTACAGAGCGCACACTCGCAGTGTTGCACTGCGCGCCTCCCAAAGGCTGGGTTTCCTACGAAAGGCAGCACCCATCCTGGACGACCATGGTCGAGTGACGGTCTACAAGGGATTCGTGCGACCCCTACTTGAATATGCCCCACTGGCCTGGTCGAGCGCAGCCGCAACTAACATGGCCCAGCTGGACAAGGTTCAGCAACGTGCCCTGCATTTCCTGGGACCTGGAACCATCCTCCAAAGTCTTCAGCTTCGTCGGATGGTGGCAGCCCTGTCATACTTGTTCAAGCTGCACTACATTCCAGGGCCTCCCCAGGTAAAGGCCATGCTGCCACCAACCAAGCCCCCTGCCGTAGCTAGCATGTGCACACGGCAAAAACGTCAGACGATGCCTTTCAGCTGAAGTGGACACCCCCTCGCACAGCCCCTGACTACCTCCTGCGATCCTTCCCCTTCTTCGCCATCACACCCTGGAACAACCTGCCTGCGGACCTCCTGCTTCACGAGCCTCATTCAAGACGCCTCCAAACCTTCAAGGTCAACGTATGTAAGGATCTAATCCGAAAGAGATGGCTGTGGTCCACACAGTACCTGTGACGATGATATTGAGATTTGAGACCCATTTAGTATTTACCTCTCTACTACTTGCTTGTTATGATTATTGTTCTCTCTCTTCATTTTCCCTTCTGGTTTAGTCATTACACGTATTTATATTATTTGGTGCAATACTAGCGCCCTTTTCTCGCACCAAATTATTATTTTTGCTACCTGACCATGCAACCCCCCCTTTTTTTCGATGCCAGGTTGCAACGCTAACGCCGAGACCCCTGGTCGGTCGAGTTGCTCCCTGTACATCGGCACGTCGTCCCTACATCCCCTGTGTCCTGTCTTGTGTTTGTCTCCACATGTCTCTTTGTAGGGCTGTGTTCCCAATAAATTAAAAAAAAAAAAAATACTCCTGATTACACACAACTGTCTGCAAGTACGCAATCACACCCTCATCCTTACCAAAGTCTCGGTCTCCATAACAACGACACTCGCGTAGGTGACTCCTCTGCTGAGAGCGAATCCAACAATTCCATGAGCATGTCCAGGTCACCCTGTGTGACCGACAACACAAAGCAGGAACATGAAGATGTGGCCATGGTGATACAAAACCATCCCTTCTCTACCTCGGTCTGACCATCGCTTTGTATGTTGCTAATCCCTTCCTTCCCCTTTTGTGTGCGCGTTTTTTGTTGTTTTTCCTCTTTTTCCGTGGTTGGTCTCACCCTCTCCTCAATTCAATTGGCCATCTTGGCACGCTACGAGGTGCATAAATACATAAATAAATCACTGAATTTAATCATAGTGGAGAGATCCTCAACTTTGAGGAGCAGTTGGAGCGAGCAGGCGCTAAAGCCCACTGCAAGGTTGCCACGTTCCTCAATGGGCGTCGTGACGCAGTGTACACATTGAGAGCACCTACATGTACATTGTCATGTACATGTACAATGTAGACTGTAGGACTATGGCAGCACAATCGTCATGCCTTGCCAATCTGTCAAACTCCATGCCATGTAATAATACATGACTGTGTAGACTCAGCAAGTCGCACGTGCCTAGGGCGTGCCTTTGACTTTACTACTGTACTGGCAAGTATAATCATTGTAGGTGTGTTTTCAGTCAACTTTTCACAGAACATCACCCGTACCGTACGGCCGTAGACATGTGCATTGTGCATGTACATACACAATGCACATGCACAACGCGTCATGTACATGACTGTATGTTCTCTCTAAAATAATGCTTTATTTACCCCTTGCTTCTGATCCATCGTCGCATTTTGATATTTTCATACACAGTAGGTGCAAACCCAGTGGTATTCTTCACGCTAGACACGCTTTTTTTTTTAGGATTCCCACAGCTTACCCAGCGAATTAAGTAAGGCGTCGACGGCTCTAGGGAGTATTGTGTCGCCACGGACAACAGGTACACGGGTGATAAGAGAAAAAAGACATTCTACGGTACTCCCATTACCAACAAGAAATAGAATAAACGAGGCGCTCCAGAAGATCACTACAACAAAGAAGGAACGAAGCGTCGAACACTACGGAGTACTGTGCTATGACTGACAACTAGCACACGGGTGATAAAAGAAAAAAATCCCCTGCTTTTTAGCACACAGCACGCGACATTTGTCACCTGTCATTGACATCACTGTCCTGTTTGGCACATAGCATTGGCTAGGATCCTGATGATTGACGTCTTCACACAGTCCCGTAATCAACAATCATATACCGGTAGCTAACTCGCCACTCAGGTGTGCAAGGCATAGGCATAGTGGTGGCCTGCGGAAGCGAAGGCTAGTTTGTGTGTTTCTGAACATTCAAGCGATGCCAACGCGAATCCCGCGAATTATTAAAACTCTGTTACTCGCTAGCGTGCCGAACAAAAACCAGGTCACACTTGGCACTGCAGGGACACTCCTCACTTGCACGCGTCTGCACTAGTAGTCAGCACATCCAGTAACATTATTCCCTCCGGTCTGCAGTTGGAGGTTGATTCAATGAATTGATCTGGAACTGAACGTTTCCTGGAAAGGAGAAGGTCACGAAGGTGCTGGTATTTGTCAGAGGAGTTTCTCCAGTTAGGGCGTATGTTGTATCGTGTCTCGTAGTGGGAGTCTTGAACGATAGGAGCGTCTGCCGGCGCGCTGACACCATCTCGTTGAGAAAATGAAGTGCGGAGTGCCGCCCATCGTTGTGCTGATCATACATGTAGGTGTGTTCGGAGTGATACTACGGGACACTGGAGCAACAGGTAAGATGATTGGTGTGTGTGTGTGTGTGTGTGTGTTTGTGCATGTGTGTGTGTGTGTGTGTTTGTGCGTGAGTGAGTATGTGTGTGTATGTGGTGCCAGCTAGTTCGGTTGGTGGGTACACTTATGCCTGATTGTGTTGGGTCTGTTGCCAACGGTCTCGGCTACTTGAAGGTGTAATGTTGTACCTGCCACCTTCGTTGTTGGTTCCAGGGTTCATATACTTTCTATTTGAAGTATACATACCTGTTAACCATGGACTGCTTCTGGCTAGATTAACTCTAGTGTAATCAATGGTGCTAGTGAAGCTAATATCAGATCCACTCTGATTTAGTCACACACACTAGTAGCACGTATTTATTACCTTCACTGGGGGCAGGGGTAACTGCAGTTGGATTCTAGGACGGATGCCACAGACGGAGTCACCCGCGGCCAAGTCAATAATTCCCTCTCTTCACACATTAGGCAAACTCAAGCTGGATACAAATCTATTTCATTCCTTGGTGCTGACCGCTTTAATGCGCTTCCCGGGGGGGGGGGGGGGGGGCCTTCGCACTAATCACATCCCCAATTTATTTCGCCAGGAACTTAACAAATTCATTCATCTGTTGGGAATGCCCAAGTAAAATAATAAAATACAATACAATACAAAATCACCACTGAGCAAAGGGAATTCAACGCACTACATTTTCTACCCGAATATGCAACTGGGTGCGTGGTTCAAATAGTTAGAGCACTGTTCTGAACATGATGTTGTGAGATACAATGCCAGTTCGATACGGGTCAAGTTGGAGTGTTTACCTGACGCATTGGGGTGTGTTTATGTGTGGTTTTATTTGTACATGTACATGTGTATGTGTGTACATGCATGTGTTGTGTGTGTGTGTGTCGGTGCGTGTGCCTGTATGTGTATGTGTGTGTGTTTGTGGGTGCGTGTGTGTGTACATGCGCGCATGTGAACGTGTGTACGTATGACGGTGGGCACATTTGTGGATGTGTCCGTGTACATGCATGGTACATGTGTGTGTATGCATATGCGTGTGCATGTGTGTGTATCCATATGGGTGTGCATGTGTGTTTGTGTGCTTTGGGCGGGAATGTTGGAACGTGTTTCGCACCACCTTGCAGCCTCGACAGCATGCATTTTGTCTGGAAGTGCAGGAAATCTTACCATTGATAATCACGCTAGGCTGACAAGTGCGCCCGGCGCTGGACCACTTCGCCAACCGCGGACAATTGTCCCTTTCCCGAACATATCCTTCTACAGCAGCTGTTCACTTGTCCAGATTGATATTATTGCAGACGGGCTTGGGTCGCTCTGCTACCCGAACTTGGCCATATTGGAGGAATTCCCTGGAAAAAAGTATCAGACTGCCTCTAAACTCATTCCACCTAGTACACATATGGGGGGCATTGCAACATGGACTGCGGTGCCCCTTGATGGCTACATATCTGATAACAGCAGTGTGACGAAAGCTTATATACTTGGGATCGCCGTTCAAGCCAACTGCCAGTTGAATACAAAAGTCATCTCATCGGAATTCGCTTTCGTCTTGCTGCAAGGCACAGCACCAAGTGTGTTAGAGAAGTTTCATGCTGGAAACCTAGAACCTCGTGTCACATTGACCATCCGTGGTAAGTGCCAATCATTCATGCAGGTATTATAATTATACTCATTGCTGTAGATAGCAAGCTGTTTTGGGCCATAAAAAGCCTCATCAGTACAGCTACGAGCTTTAATTAAGCAAGCCGAGCTACCAGCCATGGTGCAAAGGAGGCACCACAGACATTACGATAGCTCGTCGCTCTAGCGCCAGAGTGCTCTAACTAAAGCTTAAAAGTGGCGTTGTTTCCGTTTCTCGTAATTCGAGAGATTTTTATAACAATAATCGGCTAGGTGTTCGAGAAAGACTTTTGTAGGTCTCCTTGCGCTTTCGAGCTGTAGTCATTTTTCTTGTTGATCCCTTCCATTTGGGCTTAATTTGACTTCTCGTTAGCTTGGATACAAATTTTTTTGGCCATATCCAACAAGCCTGGTGACAAATCAATATCGTTATTATAGTTTATCCCTTTCCATTGAGTCAATAGGCAACGTCGGTCGGCAGCGGCAGTAGATCGGATTCATTGCCGCTCGCCTTATCAAAATACACAGAAAAATACCACTACGCTCTGCTTCGTTCTTTCGCCCCTGCTCAACATTATCATTGCATTTGTTCGCGTGCGTGGTCGCTCCTTGGCCTTGCATGTGTAAGTGGCAGTGCGGCGTGGTCGGCTGCAACGGCGGTCGATAGCGTGTACGGTTTCATTGCCGCTCGCTCCGTAACACTGATACCAGCATTTTTACTATTCATCATTCTTTGCAAATTCTTCACCACGGTCACTTCAAATCAACTGTATCTTTAGTTCGGCACACTGCCACGAGATTGGTGCCTTCGTCACACTGCTCCTTTCTCGTTGTAATTGGCTTCCGGCTTCAACTAGGCTTGCAAACACACGTAGAGTTTGACCGTAAAAATGTTCTTTTCTATCAGCTGTTTTGGCCATTCCAATGGCTCTGCAGTGCGTTTGGCAGGATCGTTACTTCTCCTTTGTTAGGGCTGTGCGCATCGCTGTTGGTAGCTGCATTTGGTAATCCACAATGGTTTGTTGTGGCTGTGCGAAAGGGGGCACATGCGTTCGCTGCGAGAGTGCCTCAAGCCCCAATCCGTGCTTTGACTGTTACCCCAGTCGGGAAAGGCACTGTGCCAACCGCATTCCCGGATCCATAAAAGCAAGGTTTCAAACTAATGTGCCGGACCCGAGAGTCAGGCAAACCACTAGTACCACTATATGTAGTGTCGATACAAATGGTAACACTAACTCTTGTACGGCATGTATTCGTGGCTGCTTGCCGCCGGTTGAGCCTGGTGCCGGTGATGGGATCTCAAACTTTACGCGCCCTGATGGCCGTGTTGGGGCTTCCGTCACCGTGTTGTCTGGGTCTTCCGCTCCGCAGCCGCTCGGTGGACACTCGGGGATGGCTTCTTCCACCATTGCCGTACCTATCCCCAGTGTGAGAGGTGCGCACCCAGATGATGAAGCACCATGTTTACGGACGGGTTCTGTATCAGTTTCCCCTAGGTTGTGGACTGATTATTGCGCGCCACATGAGCTACTTGGCAATGCCTGCGCCTTGACTAGCGTTGAATGTCCCTGCCAGCCTCTGCGTGTTGACTTACCGCATCGTAAAGACCCTGCTCAGGGGTCGGCCAATGCACCCGTCTCGACACCCCCTGTTGAGGAACATCCTCCAGGTGTAGCACCCGATAATGTCGTCCGCGCTTCTGTATTGGTTTCCCCCAGGTTGTTGACCGATTCTTCCGAACCACACAAAAAATGACAGTGGATGTGCTTTGCCAGATGTTGAATGTTTCTGGCAGCCTCTGCGTGTTGACTTACCACATAGAGAAGGCCCTGCCAAGGGGTCGGGTAATGCACCTGTCTCAATGCCCCTGGCGGAGCAACACCCTCCAGTCATACCATTATTATTCTTTATTTCCACGATGGCCCATGGCCAATAAGAAAGATAATATGATTTAAATCAGTCCAGAATCATATAAAATCAGTCTAGCAAGTAAGGAAACCAACACATTGCAGGGGGATGGGGCCACGATGGGGTACAGTGTGAGCTACTACAGGAGCATATGGATGATAGAATGAGGCTAGACGCCATTGATTTAAACGCATGCTTGCTATTTGTTTCACGCAGGTCGGGGGGTAGTTGGTTGAAATTGTGAAGGGATAGGTTGATGGGTGAGTTGGTGTGTCGGTATGTGTGTGATGTTCTCAATGTGTATGTTCTCATGTGTCGTAGTGCATATGGCTGCTCTGTGATTGGTCGTGCAAGGTGAGGCTGTTGCAGGTGAAGGGGAGCGCGGATGTACTTGATGTTGTGGGCAAGAGTAACCTGTCGTAAGAGTTGCCAGGAGACTAATGTGGGGAGTTGGAGATGATGAAGAAGTGAGCTGTGATGGACTGGTGCAAAAAGGGGGATCCGCAGGCAGATACAGGCTGCTCGTCGCTGAACGCGTTCTAATTGGTCCTTCTGTGTGCGGGTGGTGTTGGATAACACGAGACTGCCGTACTCTATAACCGGGCGAATGTAGCCATCCGATACTGTCATCCGTACCTATAACAAGGTTATTAGTTGGCAACAAAACCTTTTTGATCTGCCTAATGGGGCCTCCAGCAAGGCTTTTGTTCGAGTGCTCACTACGGAACTACGAAAATTCAATATATCTCAGGGAGTGGATGTTGATTCCTTGTATAGGTTTTTCGTGTTACCCTCTTTATTACTACAACGCGTAGGGCGTGCCATGGCAGCTAAGGATTGTGGCAAACACTTGGAGCGCCGTCTTGGGTTATGGAAGGATGGAAATCTTATCGAGCTCCTCGATGAGGGCGACACGATACAGCGGGGCTTAATGGGTAGGACTGGTCATGGGGGTCGTTTTGATGATGGTCAACCACGCCGGTTTGGTAAACTTTATGGCCCAGGGCAGAGTTACGACGGCCGCGCGTATGCTCAGCTCTTGCGGGAAGGAGCAGTCTGTTACGCCGGTTCTTGCTATGGATGATGTGGTGCCCGTGGGTGGCACTGATTGCGTAGTTGGTGATATCCTCCGTCAGAAACACCCTACGCCTGCTGTGCCTAATCCGGATGTGTTGCTTCCCGGACCACCAGGCCATGTGAATGAAATTTACTATGCCGGTATTAATATTGACTTGATAAAGAAAACAGCCTTGGCGGTCCATGGATCGGCGGGCCCGTCTGGTTTGGACTCCGGCGCTTGGCGCAGAATGTGGACGTGCTACAAGGGTGCATCGACCGACGTATGTGATGCCATAGCCATTTTTACGCGTATGATATGTACAGTCCAATTGCTGGTAGGATCTTTGGCACCCTATGTTGCTTGCCGTCTCATTGCGCTTAGACCTATCGAGGTGGGCGAGGTATTTCGCCGAATTTGTTCAAAGGCAGCCTTGTCTGTAATGAGGTCCAATATTATGGAGTCGTGCGGCGTCGAACAGGCCTGTACCAGGATCCCAACAGGTCTTGAGTCGATGCACCAGGCAATGGAAATTGCTTTTCAGCATGGCGAAACGGAGGCTTTGTTGTTGGTGGATGCCCAGAATGCATTCAATAGCCTCAATCGATGCGCCGCCCTTCACAACATTGCCAGGGTGTGTCCTCCACTATCTCAAATACCTACAAATACTTACCAGTCTCCAGCAACGCTGCATGTATCTGGAGGTGGAAGCATCCTGTCTTGTGAGGGAACTACACAGGGTGATCCTTTATCAATGGCAATATACGCTGTTGCATTGACACCTTTGGTCAAATCGTTGCGTGCTTCAGATAGAGTCTGCCAAGGATGGTATGCGGACGACTCTGCCACAGCGGGGAAGTTTGGTCCGCTCCGCGTGTGGTATGATAATTTGAAAACTCATGGTGAAGATTATGGATACAATATTAATGAAAGTAAAACTCAGTTGCTTGTGAAGCCTGGGCTAGAGGTGCCTGGGCTAGAGGTGCCTGGGCTAGAGGTGCCTGGGCTAGAGGTGGCTGCCAACGAGCACTTTGGAGACACGGCTATTGTTGTGAAGACGGATGGTGTTCGTTACCTTGGTGCTGGGCTGGGCACTTCCGCTTTGTGTCGTGATTTTGCAATTCAGCGTGCGGATGAGTGGATACAAGAGATGAATGTTCTGAAAGAATTTGCGGCTGTTGAGCCTCATGCGGATTATGCTGCAATGACACATGGTGTAAGGCACAGATGGACATACTTGTTTCAGGCTATGGATTTGGGTGAGGCGGTACTTGCTCCTGTCGAGACTTGCCTCTCTCAGGTTCTTTTGCCAGTTGTTGTGGGGTAACCCGCATTGTCTGGCGGTGATCGGAGGGTGTTGAGACTCCCTATTCGGCATGGCGGGATGGCTATCCTGGATTTGGTTGCTATGTCTGCGCACCAACGGCGTCTGTCTCGCCACATTTCGGAGCCTCTGGTGCTGGGTATTGTGGGTGGCTACATTGGGACATTGCATGTGCCCTCTCGATCTGTCGCCTCTCCGAGTCACAGGAGTGTAGTGTCCGGGAGTGACCACGTTGCCTCTACTCCTGTGGCAGTGATAGTGGACGCCGTGCGGGAGCGTAAGGCCCAGACCCATGCGCAGCAAAGGAAGGAAGCTGTGGCTGCGACGAGCACGGCTGCTGAAATGTTGTGTGATTGGGACAGGAGGCGTATTCTTGAACTATCAGAGAAGGGTGCCTCGTCCTGACTGGCTGTATTACCTATCAGGAGGCATGCTTTAGTTTGTCAGGAAGAGACTTCCAGGACGCTGTCGCTTTGCGATATCGAGTCGAAGGTTCGATGGACTTCTCGTGTGCTCTGGATGGCAGTCGTGAGTCAGTCATGTGTCAAGTAAAGTCAGCGGAATAGCCCGAGCTCCAGTGTGGGGAGCAAACCCTTTCTGTTTTTGTTTTGTTATTGTTTTTTTCCTTTTGGAATGGGTTTATTGAGTTTATTGATCCAGTTTATTTTTAATTATAAAAAATTGATTTGAAGTTTTTAGTTTGGGTTTGAAATTCTTTACACATGCATTTTTTCTGATTTCTTCTCCAGTGTATGATTTATTGCATTTTAAACCATTGTGTTAAAATTTAATTTGCCCGTAAAAGAGGCCTACAGAAAGAAGAAGAAAAAACTAAAGTAGCGGGCAATGCGTAGGAGTACACCATTTACCGATATTTCTGTAACCACTATTTTAAAGGAAAATCCTTATACAAGTACACGTATCATAGCGATAAAATTAATAGTTTTAGTCTGCGTTTACACGACAACGAAGTGCGACCAAAAAAGGAACGAAATCGTTGTGTTTACTACATGTATCATCGTTTATACTGTACTACAAGGCACGAAAACGCACCCGAAACGCACCCGAAACGGAATGAAACAGAATTCAATATTTTCCTTTTTACAATAATTAAAAAAGTTGCTTGCTCATCTTTTTCATTCTTTCTGCAGCATTGGATGCGTGCCATCATGCTGCATGTGATACCTGCCAGACCCTCTATCAAAGCTGTCCTGCATTAGCGGATGCAAGTGGAACAAGTCAGCTTCAATACTATTGCAGTAGTGCATCTAACTACACCTGCTCAACATCAACTGTCCTGCAGCCTACAAACCGTACAACACAGCCGACAACCTCTCCTCAACAGAACACCTCTGTAGCAGTTACAGCAACGAGTGTCGACGTGGCTACATCTTACACACAAAAATATAACTCGCCCGGTGAGACATCCTCCCCACATCCCAGCCCATTGACAGGAACATCCAAGCCTGATTCATCCGCTCCAGTATCACAAATTATTACAAGTGCAGATGTGGCCATCATTTATGTCTCGGGGCCATCAACTAGCGTCATCTTGGCCATTGGTGTGCCCTTGATAATCCTCGCACTGTGCTTGCTACTAGTACTACTGTACCGAAGGAAGAAGCGCACCTCTCTGGCAGAAGCTGATCAGTCACGGCTGCGACATCTAGAGTCCGGAAACGGGCTGATGCTCCCGCGTCCCTCGGGTAGCTTTGCAGCCCAACCTCAGACAAGTAGTGGAGCAGCACAAAATCCGTCCGAGACTGTATGCTATGATATTGCGTTGGAACCAGTAAAAGCAAGTAATTCCATGCGGATTTCCAGGTCTTCGGCCATTGCTGACGGTGAGAACCAGCGCCCTGACGATGCGGACGTTCCAATGGCTTCATTGAACAGTGAACATCACCTCGCCCCGCTATACTCTGAGCCGGACGCACCTGCAGATGCCAATGCCAGAGCGCAGGGATGTCACTACACGCTACCATCTACAGGTACACAATCACGTGCCAACCGCTATGAAAGCCTGGGTCCCCATAGCAACGCTCTCCCTGGTGGTACATCTCCCACTGAGAATGGAGCAACCAATGCTGGGAACACGCCCGTATATTTCTCCTTTACTCATGACAATACTCGGCATCAGGTCTACTAGAACGTCTCCACGGAGCTGTCAGGCGCCGTCAAACTGTGAACACAACTACGATTCCATATCTGCTGATCTGTAAGAAGACCTTGAGTCTGTGGGGACTGCCCTATTAAAATATGAATAGATAATAATCTTTGTTCATTTTTCAGTTGCAAGTTTATTGTTAGTACACGCATTCGTCATTGCTCTCGCTTTCATTGTTAAAATTCACACTTGTAAATTTCACTGCTGTTGTTCTTAGCGTTCTTAGATTTTCTATAATAGTTCAATTTTGTTTTCAATAATAATAATCTTCACTAGTTTGAGGGAAAGAGACAAACTGGAAAAGTCTGAAGAAAAAATTGACTGTCACCACCAGGACTCGAACCAGGGACCCTCGCTTGTAGCTGGCGATGCTCTAATCACTGAGCTATGGTGTAGTCGTCATCCCAGCAGAGACTGTTCAACATTTTCTTCCGACTTCGTAACTCACACTTCCTGTGACTCCACACAGGCGGGTGGGACGCAGCCCTCACTGTACCCACACACTTCACGTACACTCTAGTACGCGGGGAGCCCCAAGTCATAAAATCTTCACTAGTTTGAGGGAAAGAGACAAACGGGAAAAGTCTGAAGAAAAAATTGACTGTCACCACCAGGACTCGAACCAGGGACCCATAATAATAATAATAATAGTAATAATATTAACTGGTTTGAGGGAAAGAGACAAACGGGAAAAGTCTGAAGAAAAAACTGACTGTCACCACGAGGACTCGAACCAGGGACCTTCGCTTGTAGCCAGCGATGCTCTAACCACTGAGCTATGGTGTAGTCGTCATCCCAGCAGAGGCCCTTCAACATTTTCTTCAGACTTCGTAACTCACACTTCCTGTGAATCCACACAGGCGGGTGGGACGCAGCCCTCACTGTAACCCACACACTTCACGTACAAACCAGCACGCGCGGAGCCCCAAGTCATAAAATATTTTAACTGGTTTGATGAAAAGAGCCAAATAATAATAATAATAATAATAATAATAATAAGAAGAAGAAGAAGAAGAAAGGTTTGCTCCCCACACCGGAGCTCGCGCTATTCCGCCGACTTGACACTTGACTGACTCACGACTGCCATCCAGAGCACACGAGAAGTCCATCGAACCTTCGACTCGGCAAACCTGAAGGTTCGATGGACTTCTCGTGTGCTCTGGATGGCAGTTGTGAGTCAGTCAAGTGTCAAGTAAAGTCGGCGGAATAGCGCGAGCTCCGGTGTGGGGAGCAAACCTTTCTTACAAATCATCGCCGAAGTCGCAACCACTACTTTTAAAATAATAATAATCTGAAGAAATCCGATGGCGTCATTACTGATGTTCAAGCACCCGACCCCATGCCACTGTCCCGCGGCCCTTTCTATCGTTCTCTTCAGTAACCTTAGTAGAAGTTAGTGCATGGCAGGGAGGGCCTTATGGCTTGTTAGTGCCCGACAGGTTAGCCTGAGGGGCGTAGGCCCGATAGCTAACCTGAAGGGCACAAACAAGCCATAAGGCCCTCCCTGCCATGCACTAACTAATTTTTAGAACGAGGTTAGATGCATTATCTCACTTGCATTATGCTTTTGCACCCCTATATTGGGTGGTGTTGTGGATTTATGTTATTATTATTTATTATTATTATGCTCTATTCGCGTTAGCATCAGTGAGCTTATAAAGCTCACATTTAGCCTTCGCTTAAGCCGCAAGAAGGAGCAAGTGAGCGCGAGGAAGCGCAATGCACACAGAGCGTCAAAACAAAACAAAAACAAAAACAAAAACAGAAAAAGAGACAAGCTGCAAGAAGGAGCAAGTGAATGCGAGGAAGCACAGTGCACATCAAGCATCACAATCACAAAAAAGACAAGATGGAAACGCAAAGTTATGTCCATTGTTGCATTAGCGGCTACATACAACCTTCACCAGGTCCTGCCACTGAGGGCGATCCTGGGCGAGCTGCTGCAGCCTGTTGCAGTCATCTCCATTATCTATAATTATATAAAGGTATAAATTATGTCCATTGTTTCATTAGCAGCTACATACAGCCTTCACCAGTTCCCGCCACTGTCGACGGTCTTGGGCAAGCTGCTGCAGCATGTTCAAGTCATCGCCAGTCTCTAGGGCGGTATTATTTTTCAGCTTTTTGAGATCATTATTGAGCGTTCGCGGGAGCGTTGTTCTTGGGCGTCCCCTAAAGCTGGGGCCGTTACCCCCTAAGAAGTAAGCTCCCATGGCACGTCTGGCTGGGGCTGCCTCTTCCAAACGCAGCACATGACCAAACAGCCTCCATCTAGCATCTCTGATGATTTGGCTCACGGGGCGAGATTCTGTGCGTTTATACAGGGAAGTGTGCAGAGAGAATTGGTGTGGTATGATAGACTATTTTCTTCTATTTTCTTCTGGTAACTCAGCACCGATGAGGATTACTAAATGAGAAAAGAAGCAAATTAAATGCTGGGCTCTTATTGCGAGCTTTATTCATATTCCCCTTTTCCATACCTATAATGACTTTGATCTACAGTTTCTATGGTTCCACTGTGCACCAGCTGTTGACAAAAGAAAATCGTACAGATGAAGGAGTACGGGAGAAAATAACCGTACACACTTCTGAGTATCCCGCACATCTGTAACTCGTATACTCTCAGCACTCAAAGCACAATCATACTTGTTGTTACGTAAGTAGTTATCATTCGTTCATTGTCTCACAAGGAGAAGAAGAATACAAGGCAGTGCGAGTATGCGCACTGCTATCCATGCATTCCTACGGTGTACTATTTATGTGTATACAAATTACGTGTCATAAAGTAGCCATGATACACTATCCTCCTCCTACCAAAATTTCACGCCCTCGTGAATAGAGAAAAAAACAGAAACATAAAAAATAAAAACTCAGGACATAGCAAAATTAGTAAACCGAGCAGGCAGTCCAGGATTGCGAGCGAGATGGGCTCTGACGACAGCGGACAACAAGTAGGGTCATGGAAGAGGGCTTGCAGAGCAAGCACCGTGAGGCATCAGACGCGAACCGAATGTTCCTTCTGATCCAACTGCATTAGCCGAGAACAAACGCATGGTACGACTAGTGCCAGAAACCTTCGGGAGGGCGAACAAATTTTCCACTCACCGCATTGTACCTGGGCAAACTGACCACTGAGAGGTCGACATTCACAGCTTTGGCAGCAGCCAACTCAGTTGCGGAGAGACCAGCAAGTACAGAAGTGGCGACATCCACAGACGCAGTTGTGGCAGAGGAACTAGCTTGCTCTGGCTTATTTGCGGGAGTCTCGAGATGGGAGGGTTGCACCTCCGGCAACAAGGAACGCGACAGACCATCTGCATTCAAGTACTGCCGACCCGGTCGGTGAACAGTAGTGAAGGTGTACTCAGCGAGTTGCTCCACCCATCGAGCTTTTCGACCGCGTGGTTCCTTCACGGACATCAGTGCGGTGAGGGCAGTGTTATCTGTGCGGGCAATAAAATTCCGACCAAGCAAATAGTGCCGGAACTGATTCGCGAAATGGACAAGGGCAAGCGTTTCCCGGTCTGAGGCATCATAATTCCTCTCTGCCTTCGTCAAGACCCGGCTGCCGAACGCAATGGGGCGTTCCTCGCCATCTTGCATTTGGCTGAGGACAGCTCCTATGGCCACCTTGCTTGCGTCAGTGTCCAAAATAAAGCCACCAGACGAAACAGAAAAGTCGGGATACGCCAACACGGGGGCTGTGGTCAGTGACCGCTTCATAGACGTCAACGCCGCATCACAACTCTTAGTCCATGTAAAGCTGGCACCCTTGCCTGCTAATACATTCAGTGGAGCGGAGCGCTGAGCAAAACCACGGATGAAGCGGCGGTAAAACCCGGCGTACTCCAGAAACACCTGTACACCTCGTACAGACTGGGGTACGGCCCCCTTCACAATATCCTCAACCCTGGTGGGATCCGGAGCCAAACCTTCAGCCGAAACTTCATGGCCAAGGAAGAGCACCTTCCGTTGGAAAAAAGAACATTTTTCCAAGTGTACCTTTAGTCCAGCAGCACGGACCCGGCCAAATACAGACTGCAGGATCTGGAGCTGTCCAGTGAAGGTAGAGCTAGCATTCAATACACTGTTGAAAAACACTTGACAGATTGGTTGGTTAGGCACACTACATAAACCATGAAGCACCGCTTCCATTACACGGTGGAACGTCGCTGGACCATTTCTACAGCCAGACATAACCAAGAAATCACACAAACCCAACGGTGTCGTAACGGCAGTCTTTGCCGTATCGTCCTCATGCTTAGGAACCTGCCAATATCCTGACGCTAAATCCAGGCAAGTGAACCATGAACAGCCAGAGAGTGAGTCCAATATGGCGTCAACACGTGGGATAGGATACGCATCTGGCTCCGCAATGCTGTTCAACTTGCGGTAGTCGATACATAACCGGAGAGATCCGTCCTTCATAGGAACGAGAACTATGGGCGCCCAGGGTCTAATGGACTCGGTGAGTATACCACGGGACAACAGACCATCCAGCAAAGCTTGCAAAGCGCGCGTAGGCTGCGTAACTGGCTGTATATCACCAGTACTACTAATATGTGGCAAAACATCACAAGGACCAAAATCACCCTCCTGCAAGAGAAACAAGTCATGATTCTCACGGAGAAGCACTGTAAGTCTGTTCTTTTCAGGTACTGCCAGATGATTCCGAGACTCAACATACGTACGGATTATCTCGGCACGCTCAGGGGATAGCACAAACGGTTGCATATCCGCAACAGATGAATCAGTAGGATCATCATCCTCTCCAATCAAGTTATCGGGTACAGGAGATAATTCTGCAATATCAACATCTGTAGCAATTTGTACTGGGTAGTCAGAGTGATTCTCCAACACAACTACCGCACCGGACCTGCCAGGTCCAACCGTAACCACACTGGGGGTCACAGACACATCTGGAAACTTTAACAAGAATGAGTCCAGTGGAACAGCAACACAATCCACAGTGACAGATGCCTCTTGCACCGACTTGCACGGGACCAGCACGACATGGCCGGCAGGCAGAGTTAATTTACTACAAACAGTGACACGGGAATAGTACGTGCCCGGGTCTTCCTCAGAATTACTATCATTACTCCAAGAGTCAGATAGCGGTTCAGCGTCCGCCGCAACAACCGGACTGGGCTCTGATGGACCAACACTAGTAGCTTTCACGCCTAGCAGAACTGACAGATCATTAAAAGTTAGTGTGCCTTGAGCAATGTTCAATAATG